TGGAAAAGTTTTGAATGAAACAAGCACAATCTTTAATATAATAAGGCACAAAGGAAAGTGTTGCATACATATCTGTACAGAGAGGACCACAGTCGATATTCTACTTGGTGACGTTTAGTCCTACAGCTTCCACTTTCTCAGGATTGATCCTTATAGAACTAAAACATAGTGGTATTAAAGTATGGTCTTTACTTGAGAAACTCCTTGTAGAACTGAACCAAGAAAGCTTACTTGCATTTAACAGGTAAAGTCGGTTTCTTTGTCCAGTAAACAGCGTAACCTTGTGACTCTTGTTCTCTCACAGCGTTGGTCGGCTATAACACATAGACATCGTCATTTCAGCCAGCAAATAATATAATAGTCGGTGATTCTTTCAACATGGAGTTGTTATTTTACTGCAATATCCACCCAGGCAGGATAGATATTATCTATTATAGAGAGAACAAAGAAATGAAGCAACTAGAACAAGGCCAGCTTAGCGATTTTCTGGACCACATACTTATGGCAAATTGCGTAGAAACTAGATAAGAAAAAACTGTTAAAATGCTTATATGACCGCAAACAAGTGTTACATCTCTATATTATTTCCGTTATTCATTTTCTTCTTAACAGTATTGAAAATAATACATTTTTCTATATCAAAATATATTTTCTCGATGTCTGTTTTTTTTCCTGACAATAATAGAAATACTTCATTTTCTGGCGTTAGTATATCTATTCACTTTTTGTCCTCTGCCTAAAAATACTGAAAATGCTTTTATTTTCTACTTCATAATATCTTCTCTCATGTTCATCTTCAAACAATACTTAAAATATTTCCTTTTCCTTTACCATTACGCCTATTTTTCTCTTAATCTTTTACTTTTGAGAATAGTAAAAATACTCCCTTTCCCTCTATCTATTCAGCTATTCCTGTGTTTGTCTTCTTATTAACAATAATAAAATATCCCCCCTTCGTCTATTAGCATATCAAGTCCCGTGTTGTTTTATCTGTAACAATGCTAAAAATACTTCCTTTTCTTCTATCGAACTAATTATCTAATGTTCGTCTTCTTCTCAACAGAAATGAAAATATTTCAGTTTTTTCTGTACAATTATACCTAGTCTTGTGATAATTTTTCTCCTAACAATCCTGAACACATTCCTTTTCCTCTATCAGTACAGGTATCTCTATGTTTGTCTTCTTGTTAAAAATAATTATAACGTTACCTGTCAAATGCAAATAGACTTGTGTTCGTTTTCTCTATAAAGTTCTTTACTACTACACATTGGTTGTCACACACACACACATTAGGATAATGCTCTCGTTGCTAGGTTACACCTGTGGTATATTTCATAGCTAACATTGAATATGATAGGGTATTGCATCATTTGCTCGTGTGCAAATCCACCTTTAACGGCCAGATGGGGAAGCATTTTATTTTCACTGAGTGAATCTTTTGAATTTATTATTTAATTCACCGTCATCGTCGTATATCTACTTACTCTTGATTTCGTTCTGCTTCCATCTTCGATTTCAACAGGCTGAGTCACTGACCGTCCAATAGGGGGCACTGACACACGTCAAGGAAGCCTCCTGGCAGTGACTTTCAAGTAGTAAACTTTCCGAATTCCAGACACTCTGCTGGTTTGGAGCAGAAACAAATGGTAGACAAAAATCAATTAATTAATAGAAATATTACATGTTGAATTTGCTTTTAAGCTGAGCTATTTAGGTTAAAGCAAAACAATAAACTTTTCTAATTTTTCTGAATGAGCTGACAGAATCGATATTCATTACATTTTCTGCTTTTTGGAATCAAAGACAAAAGTTAACATTTTCACTATAATTTTACACGTTCGAAACTTATTTGTAAAACAAGTAAACACTTTACATAAACATCTAGGAAATCCGTTATAGAACTTTCAGCACATACACTATAAGATTTCTATCATATTTATCATAAAACTTTCAGCACAGACTATATAAATTCGCCATATAACCTAGTCCGAAACGTTTACCACTTACTCTACCTACAAAACTTACTGCACATTTACAACAGACGTTTACTGGTGTACCTCAGAAGTCGCTGTAGTAAAGTCACTTGACATAGTTCATTGAATTTCATCTCCAATGTTTTGAATTTCACATTTTTCTCTTTTTAAACCTTTCGAAACATAGTATGTTTCACTTTAAAAAGTTAAAGTAAGAGATGTGCACAATACAGTATGACTCAGAAAAAAGCAGTAATTGGAAAGTTTTATCGATAGTGGCACGTTAAAAAGTTCTAAACTTTTGTTTTGTTAGTAGTTTATTATACTTAAACTAACAGATAGAGGATAAACAAATAAAACATAAATTTTACTTAGATCAAACTGCTGAGACCTCATAGGATAATAATGGTAACTTTCCGATACCTGAAAATAATTTTCACAGGTGATGAGTTAACGCTGCTACGACTCATTGCTTAGATAATGAGTTGGATTCTTCTCACAAATTGACTTCCACTTCATTAATAATTGTTTTTTAGGATCGTAAAAATAGGACAAAAATAGCTTATATCAAATAAGTTTTGCTTCTGTTTTATTTAATCTTGCAACATATGGGAAAAGTAGATTCGAAGACTGTGATATGATGACTATAAGACAGGGATGAAATCACAAACGGTGCTTCTGACGTAATATTATCTTTGTAAATCGTTGACTTTGCGCAAGTAAAAAAAAATTCGTATAGTTGTTACTTGTATGTAACTCAGTACTCTATTATTCTGACAATCTCATTAATGTTGGGAAATTTTTCTTCGATATTTCTACGCTAAATTGACACGTTTAACTATCACAACCGAAAATGTTATGTTTTTCTGAAACCGAAAGTGGTTACTATAACTACGACAAATGGTATTTATAAATGATTTCAGAAAAATCTGCAAAACTTCACAATTTATAGCGAGAGATATCACCAGTTAATCTAAGATAAGATAGACTCCAGAATCAAGGAAATAGTGTTTTTTCATCTTTTACGCAATTTTCATATTAAGTCTTGTTTATTGGAGCAGAACATTCTTTAACGCAGATATAGATAACCAGGGTTTGAAGAATGGTTGTTTTATTATAAATCATTTGTACCCATATACAAAGTTTTACTTTCCTACAATTTCAAGAATCACGACCCAATAATTAAGTTAAATTGTATTCTTTTGTTTTTTTATCTTTTCAACATTCACAGATTAGTGTTCTATAGAATGAGTTTATTTGTTTGTGATTATTGTCCAAATATTTGGTACAATTTGGAACTGCTGACGAAGAAGGGTTTTGGAAGTTCCAGACGTGAAATAATACGGAAATTTAATGATAATTGCTGTTCATCAGACATCACATTAGGCCCACACGTGGCTGGTTGGCCAGCCAAGCATGATCCTTGTTATCTTAAGCAAGTAAGGTTTTATTACATTCTACTCCACACAAGACAAAAATTTCTAGAACTATAACAGCTTTTCCTACTTGCTCACACTTTCTCTTCAAGCGAGAGCAGTTCCACCTAACGGGAATATTTCAGTCAGCTCGTGCCACGTGGGAAGGTACCATGCTGAAACGATGCTGAGGGGTCACAGTGACAGTCATGGTCTAGTGACCAGCAGTTCCTTAATTTGCAAGAAGTAAAAAAAAAAAACTGGACGAAATAAGGGTTCTCTTATTTGATATTTTAAAATCAAGTAGAACATTCTCAGGCAACACGAAATTATTACCGTTAATCAACAGCAAAGGAGAACTGACAATTGTTTGTTACTTGGTACCTGTCGTTTGTTTCACTAAAAAAGATGTATTATTCAAACAAACTATCACAACCACATAAATTGTACTTAATGAAACCTATTACCACGTTTAAAATACGCATACTAAGGAGAAATGAACCCAGTGTGTTAGTTTAAAAATAGTAGATCTATGATAATACCAAAATATTATTCTTAATAATAGATTGACATGTTTCAGAAGTGTAAGAAATATATGCTTTCGACTTGAAATACAACATAAAGTCTTTGATTAAGGTATATATATTAAAGAGATGAGCATATACATGCCTGTTGTTATAAACGTCTGTAAAAAGTATATTATACATTGTACATGGTTTTAAAAGAGTGTTATTAAACAACTTCCGATGTAACTACATGTAATATTACTATACTTTATTAATGTTCGAATAATCTAGAGCGACATATATTGATCATTTCAGTATACCCAATAATGTGCGTTTTAGAGCTGGCACGAACTGTAACCCTAAAAGAAAAACAACAAAAGACTCCCTATTTACGTCGGTAGAAAGCATACGACCTTCCTCCGCAGTTAATAACGTTACCCTCAAGGAGTAGTTAATTTGATCACTATCAAACAAGCCTTTGTGAATGTCTAAGCACCACATTTTTTACTGCTAATGGAGTAAGTAGATGGCTGATACAAACCTAAAAGTAACATAAACAGAGAAAGTGTCTCGTAAAACTCGTTATTTATCAAGTATGTAAAATTTTAGACAACTTACATGGTTATATCTATGAATATTAACTTATAAAGATGCCCCAGTAAATATAAACAATAGATTATTTGTATTCATTAATTAAATCGTACTTTTAACTAAATAAGAAGATGACAACAGCTCTTGGAATAATTGCTTCCTTGTTCAATTAAAATTTGTAAGTATATTTAGGATTTCAAGCACTGTAGCCTTTTCTTCAACTAAAAGGGGTGAGAAATGCTTCTCACAACTGTAAAATTGACTGGCGTCTAAGATGTAAAATTCAATTATTTACTTTGAAACAGTCACTTAACGTTAAGTTGAAAGGGTACATAGGTTGTTCTCGTGATAAAGCGAGTACATTGCTACAAGCTGATGTGAATTACTGTTTGTTAAACTACTTGCAATAGTGTTAAACTATTATGGTATCCGTTTAAAAGTTTTTGTAAAAAAAAAACGTTCTCTGGGTATGGAGTGACTTTATTATATAAACTTGTTACACCATATCCAATGTGGACATATCATACCGTTCTCCTTCCGCTTAGTAACTGCTCAGGGCGATTGCTCTGTTTGCATTGTGCCGAAGTGTTGTAATTTACGATCTGCCGGTTGGTGTGCGTGAGCAACCAATGTCTATATTCACACATGCTCTGTTAGGCTTAGCGTGCACACGATAGCCCTGATTCTAACTGCTGCGAACTCAGTAAGTTGTTCAGGACAACAGGAACAGTACGTGCTGGGCACTCGACCGTTAGCAACTGCAGTCAAAACTAGGCCACACCCGTTGAATGGTATATAAGTTCAAGTGCTGAAATAGAAAGTGCTAGAATCCACAGTTCTTTCGGTCAAACTTCAATCAGACTGCCTAAGAAAGTTAGTCGTGCTCGTGAGCTAACGTCTCTTTATTGCGTTGTGTGTTATGTAAGTGTTGACCTATGACGTCATCAAACATACGTGTTTTATAGAGTATTCAATTTTGTAGTGTTTCTGCCTCATTTTTATTACATTTTCTACTATAATCATTTTCTTGTTTACGTGTGTGCATCCAATTTATAGTGAGGAGTCACCAAAGTACACGATTCTGTCAGTGCGAATATTATTTTTAGTAGTACATCAAAGACAGCCAATGAACGCTTACGATTTTTGTATTCAAAACATTTGATGTGAACGTGCCTTTTCGTGGAAAAGAACAGGATGGAAAGTTTGAATGTTTAGCGATCGATTTGTGTTTCTGTTGCAAGACAAAGAACCTTTGAGTAGATTTAATGATTTCACAAAATACTTTATTGTTCACTCACTCGCTAATTCTGGACAAAAGTGTCCTTGAGCAATATTTGGAAATAATAATAAGCTTGATGGTTGATGGATTGAAATAGTAGAATCGCGTGACAACATCTTCTGATCCTGAACAATGCATTTCACTCAGTATTACATGCTAAATTCGACCAATACTGTATTCCAACAAAATTCGGGGATACTGAAAACTATTGTTTATTTGCCATTACTTGATGAATTTGAACATTAGTGGTTGACGATAGTTTGTAATTACTGGACACTGTCGTTTGTTCAAAAATAACCGATAACTTCAAGCGATGGTGTTTACTGATAATTAAAAAAAAACTTAAATAGTAATGTTTGTTTACAGCAGTATATAAATTCAACAAGTACGGTGTTTAAGTACGGTATTTGGTGATGCTGAATTTAAAATATAATGTTTTCTAACAATATTTGGCGATGCTGCACATCACTGTTTATTTAATGCTACCTGATAAATTCGGCCAATGCTGTATGCTAATATCTGGTGATGCTGGACACTAATGTCTGTTCAACCGTATCCGAAGATTTTTGTAAACATTATATACTATTTTGATAATAATTAAAACGTTTTCACAGAATATGATTGTTATTGTATTCAAACAGTATCTAGTGGCCGTTTATCAATACTCGGAGTATTATGTTTGGCTATTGTTAAAAACAAAACAAAAACATTGTTTATTTTAATATAAAGCTCGAATAACGTTTATTATATTTGCACAGACGTAATTAATTGACTCTAACTAGCAGCTTTACTTTATAATAGGCACGCGCATGCTTTATGTAACTACACCTCAATGTTTCGAACCTTCTACTACTTTATTTGATGTTTCATAAAAGAAACTATTTGGCTACAACTAACAATTATTAAGTTCGGTATTACTTAATTTTGCACTAAATATGTGCAGTTGGTTAAACTTTGTATTACTTTATTGAGATATTAGATATACGCAAGCTTAATTTGATCAAACTTAAATAATGAATTTTAACACAGAGAACTTTATCTGATACTAGATATGGACGGATTATATTTCACCATAAATAATGACTTTGAACAAAGTCTTGTTTTGTATTTTGATAAAACATACACGACAAAAACAGCCAGCAGAATAAATCCGCAACTGGATCAATACTTTATTCTACTAGATCATGTGATACGTTTTGAACAATGTACTGAAAATTTCCTCTCTTTGATTTTACAGATAATATTGCGTATGTGACAGAGTTTCAGAATCCAGACTGACGTCATGGCATTTCGACTGGTGCTGAGAATATCTCTCTGGCTGGTGTTGTTAATCCTTCTATGTGAGTGAAAATTGTTTCAATTTATCTTTGTCTCCTCTAGAGTCTAATTTATCTCGTCATAAACAACACGTTGCAATATTTTTGTTCATTTAAAGCAGATACAAAAAAAAAACCGGTTCGTTAGTGGTAATGTAAACATTTACATTTAAAAGCTTTGTATGTTTTCTATCAATGATCTGAAGATGAATAAAGAGGTCTCGATCATTTTCGCCGTATGGAACTAATGTTTTTTACACACCCAGGTTTAACCTTGGTATAGTATTCACTGTATTGGATTTGGATGTAATTTTTTTAACTGTATAGTATTTATTGTATAGGGTTTTCATAAATTTAGCGATGCTACATTAATAAGTTTTACACAGATATTCAATCACAATATAGTACTCATTGTATAAGATCTTGGTCACTTTCGTCGTGTCACACTATTGTTTTTACACATAGCTTTCACTACGGTAAAGTACTGATTTCACAGGATTGTGACAATTTTATTGGCGTCACAACAACGCTTTTTACTTAGATATGTTATTACGATATAACACCCATGCATAAGATCATGATAAATTTAGCTGTGTCACGTTATTTTTTCTTTTTTTAAGCAGATATTTGACCATTTAGTGATACTTAAACAGAATATATGAACAAGAAATATAACTCCGTTACCGTAGTGGGGAAGTTCGTGACAGAAACAGAATGATAGTGAATCAGCAACAAGCAAAAGAAAACTCTATTATTTATAAGCCTCGCATGTTATGTTTTAGATCGGCTGTCAAAACTGCATAAGGATGAGAGAAAAGTATCCAGTTATACATGGAAGGTGAAAATAAGTTCGTGAACAGTTATACGAAAACTACGTGTGTTTTAGTTGCTATACAATTCTGACGTTCATTTTGGATTACTAATCTTGTTCAAATTGAGCTTTCTTCGTTATCTATCAATTTGTTACATTAGGGGTAAATGTATGAAACACGTAATGTATAACATTCAAAAGTTGGTTTATAAACCTTCAGGTTCCACTAATACAAAGTAGGTTATGTTAACAGGTCTCCAGCTGACCTAGAATTTATTTTCTAAAATACTATTTCGTAACTAAAATATTTTGATAATTCGTTTAATGTTAAGTATAGTTTATCTATTTATCTATGTATGTTAAGTATAGCTTATCTAAGGATGTTAAGTATAGTTTATCTATTTATCTATGTATGTTAAGTATAGCTTATCTAAGGATGTTAAGTATAGTTTATCTATGGATGTTAAGTATAGTTTATCTATGAATGTTAACTATAGTATATCTTTGGATGTTAACTATAGTTTATCTATGGATGTTAACTATAGTTTATCTATGGATGTTAAGTTTAGTATATCTATGGATGTTAAGTATAGTATATCTATGGATGTTAAGTATAGTATATCTAAGGATGTTAAGTATAGTTTATCTATGTATGTTAACTATAGTTTATCTATGGATGTTAACTATAATATATCTATGGATGTTAACTATAGTATATCTATGGATGTTAAGTATAGTTTATCTATGGATGTTAACTATAATATATCTATGGATGTTAAGTATAGTTTATCTATGGATGTTAAGTATAGTTTATCTATGGCAACATAGCTGCTGTTCAATAAAGTTAATTAGTTAAAATACATATGCAAATGAACTAGGGTTGATTTCTAAAAAAATGCTGTTAAAGGCCATTAATTAGAACACATACACAGATGAGTTAAACTTCATATATGAACAAAAATTGCCCGCAGTTATACTAAGTTAATCAAGTAAAATCGATGCTCAGGACACCTACAGTTTGAATAAATCTAATGTATGAAAAAGTCTGAATTAAATGTATTAATTAAAATTCGTTTAAGATTCAGCAGAGGTTAAATAAAATACGATCAGACTGAAACTAAAATTAACTTAATGATAAAAAAAAAGAGCTGAAGCAAAACTTGATATTTAAACTCCACTTGGTTTCTGAAATGACAGCTTTTTAGATATAAACTGGTTATCATCTGACCCAAAAAGGTGGTCATTTGTAAAACATCTCAAACAGAATAAAAGATCTAAGTTTCGTGTTTCTGAAAGACATATATAGAATCAGGCTTATAACCAGCTGTTACTTTATCTGTGTGCACAGCTCCAATTTCTAACATAATGGTGTATGTGTATGGTCAACTTTCATAGAAGAAACATAGAAATAAACATCAATTTGACTTGGACAAGATTTTGTCTACCTTAAATATCTCTTTCTAATATACCCCCCCCCCAGTG